GCTCCCATGTGCCAGGCACTGTGAGGAGAGCTCTGCACGCCCTTCTCATCCAGCCCCAAGAGGGGGGCGAAGAGATGTCAGAATTTGAATCCAGGTCCAAGGGCACAGGCTCCAGGCAATCCCACAGCGAGCCTGGGCCCGGCTCGGGCAACCAACAGGAAGACGGTTCCCACAGGACTCAGGAAAACAGCCTGTCTAAGAGATCCCACAGCTGTGTCAGGGAGAAGAACAGAGAGAGATTTCCCATTCCCAGCTAAGAACGTCCAGCAACTTAAAGATTTAGCCTTCAGTTTTAAAAAAAAGTAAAAAAAGTACATAGCTATTTATATAGTATCTCAGGGCTTTGCCAAATACCGCATTTTATGATCCTCCATCACCCCATGTAGATGGCAGACAACTTATTTTATAGGAGACCGAGACTCCAGGAATGAAGTAACTTGGCAAAGAAACACAGTGGAGAGAACCCAGCCCTCTGCCGCAGACCCGGTCCTCATTACGGGAACCCTCGCTGCCTCCCGGGCCCTCCCCGCAGCGGGCACGCCAAGCTCCCTGGCCCGGGGGCAGCCCTCTGAGAGGCACCGGAGGCGGTGGAGGCCCCTCGAGGGGAGGAAGAGGTGGCAGGGCTGGCGGGGCAACGTGGCCCCAGCGACAGGGGAAGGACCTTATTCCCTGCTACATTCTGAGCCCAGAGTCAGCCAGGCAGATGATTACTGGGATGAATGAACAGAAGAGGCAGAGCCACAGGGAGGCAAGCCGAGGGTGGCATCAAAGAGGTGACCGAGTTCCAACAATGAGGTTGACACAACGTGATGTTTATAAACACTTAAAATTGAACATTTGTCCACTTCAATTATAGGCTGTGCTTTTCATTTTTTGGAGCCAAATTTTTAAGGTCTTAAACATCTTTTGGACACCCTGGTGAGCCCTCGGCCTCTATACTGGGCATTTGCAGACAAAGAAATAAAACTACCCCCCCACCATACACACACTATTCCCTGAGAGGCAGGAGGGGGCAAGGGATGGGAGGCCAGAGTCTGGCACCAGACGGCAGGAGCCTGAATACCAGTCCAGCAACAAAGAGCTGTGCAGCCTTGTGGAGTCTCCTCAGAGCCTCAGTTTCCCTATCTGTCAGAGGGCAGTGACAGTCCCACCCAGAAAGGGAGTGGAGAGGACTCACTGAGACAGTCACACAGATGTTTCTCTAGCACAGGGCCTGGCCCAGGGAAATGCTCCAGGAATACCAACACAACAGGTGTGCTGTTCTCCCAACGGAACATACCGGAAGTGCTTTTTCAACGTACACATGGCCCTCCCTCCCGCCCCGCCCAGGGGTGTGCCCTCAGGTGCACACTGCCCCTCCCCCCACCCAGGCTCTGTGTGCACATCAGCTGGGGGTGTGGGGCAGGAGGGAAGACAGGTGGCAACAAGCGAAAGGAACCAACGTTTAAGAGCAACGACCATGTGCCCGGCACTGCGCAGGCCCTTTGTCACTGTGAGCAAGGTGACAGCCCACTTCCTGAAGAGCAATGGAGACTGCAGGCCGGGAAGGCCCTCCACCCTCAGCCACACTCAGCTCAGCTCAGCTCCACCGTGGCTGCTCCGACTCCAGGCCTCATGGGCCGACAAGCAGCATCTCTCTCAACCATGTGGCATGAACAGAGAGAGGCGCAAAGCAGCCTAGTGGGGTCTGCCTCCCAAGGAAAGCATGTGAGCAGCCAGCAAGGGCACTGGCCGTGCTCTAACCTTGGGGAGCTGGGCAAGACCCGTCTCCCGCTGGGCTGCGGGCGCCTCCTCCATAAGATGAGGGTTTGAACTATTCAGTCTCTATGGTCCCTTCGAGCTCAGGGAGTTTCTGATCTGAAGACCCCAGGGCCCTAGAGGTGCAGCCCCCTGGCCTGGCTGACCAACTTGGAGGAGGCTGTGCCCCCCATGGCCCACCCCCAGTTGGCCTGGCCCCTTGGCCGGAGGCCAGGTTCCTGGTTAGGACTTAAGGATGGGGGGCAGAGGGTGACCTGCTGACCCATGACTCCAGCTCCCCAGGAGACCTGGCAGTGGGGAAGGGGCACTGGGCGTAGAGGGGAATCTTCTTCTCATATACAACTTAATCACTCCTTAAAACTGGACTACTGTCATCCCCATATCCCTTAGGGTTAAGGAGCCCAAGCACTGGGGTTTATGACGAGCTCAAAGCAGGGGAAGTTACTGCAGAGGACAAGGCAGGGAAATGGCAGTCATTGTTCTTTTCAAAAGACAAAGAAAGAAACCCATCCAGGCGCTGGGAGAAGCTACACGGTCAGGTAAGTGATGACGTAGTTGTCCCTTTGATCAGAGAGCACAAAGCCAAGGGACACGCCTGCCAAATGGGCCAGCACCTCCGGCGTCAAGATCCCAGCCAGGGCTGCCTACCTCTTCCGAAAGCTGGTGCATGCAACAAACAGGTGTCTCGACTCCACCAGAATACTGGACACAGAAATCAAACTGAGTCAGCCGTTGGTGGGGGTGAGTCCGGGGCGGGGGACGGGGCAGCAAGCACAGTACAGAAAGCACAGGCTCTGGGGATGGGCAGATCTGAGCCTGAATCCAGCTCTGCCATTTACTAGCCTTCTGCAGCCCTAAGCAAGCTCATTAACCTCTTTGAGCCTCACTTTCTAACCCTGCAAAATGGGGACAAACTGTATAACTTGAAAAGATTATTAAAAGAAATAAGAGCAAAAAGTATACGTAAAGCACAGTGTCAGTCTCACAATTGGTCCTCAGCAAACAGTGGGTGTTTATTTGTTGAACCCATGGATGCATGGACAGCAGCAACAACAGAAAGATGTTAACAGCTGCTGCCACCAGAACTGTCTAGCTGCTACTTAATTCAGGCCAGAGCCAGCTTCCTCTCTAACTTTTTAAAATTGAGAGCAGGCAACTCAGCTCACGATCAGGCTGAGGTCTGAACAAATGCCTCCAATGTGTTCACACAGACAAGGCAAAACTTTAGTTGCTTTTTTAAACCTTACGGAGTCCTCAATATCTTATGATGGTCACAGATTTTCCCTGATTCCAAAACCACACAAGTAGCAAAATTACCTCGGTAAGCTCTTCCCACACAAGGAATGCGATGTGGTCTAGACCTCATGCAGGAGCAAAGGCTGGTACCCACAGTTCCAGACGGGAGCCAGCGCACGGACCCACGGAGGCACGGCTGGAAATGTGTCCCACCCAGGCTGCCGGGAGAAACGAGGCAGGGTCTTGTCAGCCCTCGAGGAGAGAGCGCCTGGCGCACGGCTGACCACGAGACAGCCCGGGAGCTGGAAGCTGGGTGCTATCAAATGCAGGTTCCTGGGCCAGGTACCTCACGGGGTGAGCGAGCTTGAGTCAGGAATGCAAGAGGATATCGGAGCTTTTCCTGTTTCATGTAAACAGGCGGCTGGAGAGCAGGCAGCCAGGGGAAAGCCAAGGGTTGGAGGGAGGGCTGTCCTGACAAAAGGAGGAGGGAAAGGATGCTCCTGACACCAACAGGACCCAACCTCTCACCACCTCTTCTCAGTCTGGAATGGGTCCCCATTGGGGGAACCGCGATGATATGAAACCAAACCCGTGACCTCAGGAGCTTAAATCCCAGAATGCTGACCAGGAGCCATACATTCTAAATGACACAGACACCGGGAGAGCTCCCAGGCCTCAGAGGACCCACGTGGACACAAGCACACAATGGGAGGAATTAGGGAGACTGTAAATAGCCAAACTCGTATATGAGCCAGATTTTTTCCCCAGATTTGCTCTCTGTGAGCAGAACTGACACAGGTTTCATATTCGTTTATTTTAACTTGTTTTCTTGGGAAAGTATAAATGAGCAATTAAAAAGGAAGGTGACACAGCGGACAGAACTATAGTAAGCAATTATCACAATGAAAAAAATGAACGACCATAATGCAGAAACAACTGTAAAAATTAGAAATAGAAAATGTTTTTAAAGTTCATGAGTAATAACAATCTGAGGTATTTTCACAATTTCAAAAAAAAAGGGGGGGAAGGTGATAAAACAAGGGAGAATGGACAAAAGGGAGCCTAGATGCCCCGCTCCCAAATCAGAGAGAACTGCACTGACTAGCAAACCTCCTTGTTTCCATTTAAAAATAAGCGGCAGGAGGTGTTAGGAAATCTTCCTTCTCTAAACAAATCCCTTTGATCATAAAGAGGCGAAAAATAGTTATACAACTTTCCATATGCACAGCACCTCACAGTTTGTCAAGCATTTTTATGCACATAATTTCACCCACCCCCCCAGAGCTTTGTGAGCCAGAAGGGCAGGGACAAGCATCCCCACTGTTAATGAGATGCAAATCATGACTCAGAGATGGTTAGTGACTTGTTCAAGGTCACACAGCTGGTAAGCATGGGGCAGGGATTTCAATACACAATCTTAGTCTCTAAATTGGGAGCTTTCTCTATAGTGCCCCTCCCCACCCCAGGGAAAATCAGTTTTAGGAACTTTGCCTTCTTTTAATTGCCAGCACTGAATACATCTGCTAAATGACAGACTGAAACTACAGACCAGAGTGGACTGGAGAGGAGGGGAAGGGGGACACGGCTGACCCTCAACATCTGGAACGAAACCTCCACGGCAGAGGATTGCTCTGTGGTCCCTCGGGAACTGGGCCTGCCCCCCCGCCCCCGCTCTGTTTTTAGAGACACTTCCCTACAAACTTTTGTTTCCCCAGGTCTTCTTTTCCACGCCTTTTGTTTCTCCCAAATGATTTCATAATCCTTGGGTTGTTCTGTCATCACAGTGAGTTGCCGTGGGAAGGATTATTGAGGTTATGGACAAAGGACTGTGACCTCAGTGGAGGAGGCAGAAAAAACCCAGCCACCAAGACAGATTTCACACGCCTCGGTCACAGGTCACAGCGGGAGAGGCCAGGACACTCGACCCCACGGCCTTCTCCTTCTTATATTTGCTCCTCCCGCCAGGACCAGCCAGGGACTCTGTCACCAGCTTCCCAAACCTTCTCCTGATTGCCCGTGCAAAAGGTGCCAGGGCCTGCTAAACCCAAACCACAGTTAATCCAAGAACTATTTGCTCTGGGCCGTGGAACTGAGTCCCAGGAGAAAACACACACTCACACACACATCTGTCGACCCAGCCCTCATCCACACCTGCAGCCTGGGGCCTAGCAAGCCAGAGGCCCCCATCTCTCGTCTTCCCAATCCCATTCCTCGGCCCTTGCAGTGTCTGCTACAGGGGGTGCTACTGGCATTTGAGGGAGGCAGTTCTTGGTTGTGAAGGACAGTCCCACGCACAGCATCCCTGACCCTCACCAGCCAGATGCCAGCGGTGCCCTCTCCTGTCACTGGGACAACCAGAACACCCTCATACACTTCTAGACAGGCCCCTCCTGGGGTGTTACCCTCACCATAAAGTCTGCCCAGTGTGTACGCTCGGGTGTCTCCCACACTCACACACACACACCCTCCTTGAAAGCAGGGGCTGTCTTATTCACTCCAACCACCATTTGCCGCCCTGGCCCCACGTCACTCCTGTGGGGTGGAATTGCAAACTAGACAAGTCCTCCCCGAGGCCGTGTCTGTCTCCATGGAAACGACAAATGTAAATAACTGCCATACAAAGCCGACGGAACCAAGGAGGCCACAGGACTTGGCGGAGAGAACATGGGGCCAGGTGTGTGGGTCCTGGGTTTGAGTCCCACCTTCACATGTGACTCTGGCTAAGACCCTAGACTTCTGAGCTTCCTTTATCCTATCTATAAAATGAAACCTGGATCTTTAAGTTTCCTTCCAGCTGAAATATTCTAAGTGCTCAAGCTTAGAGAGACAAAAGGGATGGAGGCAAACAGAGGCACCAGAGGCCAGTTCTAAGCTTCCCACAGGGAGTGCATGTGCTCTGTGGATTTCCATAAGCAGTAAGGCCTGTGTATGGGTCAGACCCCAGTGCCTGGCCTACCTGAGGCTTGGGAAGTAACTTTTGATGAGGGACTAGCGACAATGCAGGAGCCAAAGAAGAGGGTCTGGGTAGCTGAGAGTTGGCTGTGGTGTGTGCACAAGGTGCCTGACCTATTTCCTGCTCTGACTCTCCTCCTCCGAGAGTGCCCAGGCCCCAGGGAGAGCCTGTGAGAAGCAGTCCCATGGGACTCCACTCCCTTCCACTCACCTGCCCAGCACAACTGGCCCCATTCTCTGGAAGAGCTCCCGGCTTGACCTTAGAAACAGGAAAGCCCAATGCTCTGGGAGGTAACTTACTCCACAATTCCCATAAAAATCTTTCCTCCAGGTTCCATCAACTATGAGAATGGGGCCCCCCAAAACACTGGGGAAGACTCAGCTTTGAAATATACAAGTGTATCTGAATGGATGAACACCACAGATGAGACCCAGCCTCAGGACACGGCCCCAGACAAAGTCACTTCCAAATACAATGAAAACAGCTTTCGAAAAGTGGCCTCAATAGGGAATCCCAGAGAAATAAGAACAGAGAGTTCTCTGCCTCATAACAGAGCTTCACCCTACTCTGGCATAAAACAGATAGAAAACCACACCAGGACCCTTGATTTCCACGTGCTGTGATAGAAGGGCTTGGGACAGTCATACGTACACATGCACGCACACGTATGAAGACGTGCACACACACTCCCTTGGGCACTAAGCCCCCTGGCTGCCCTACCCTAAGCTCTGCTTCTATTTCCACCTCCCCTGGCCACCCATGCTTGGGAGAGACATTTTTCGCACAACGTCTACTTCAGTTGTATTTCAACCTACTACCACATCTAGCATTTGACAGAGCCATAAGATAAGATAACAACAACAATAATAACATGACATTGATGACGATGCCCTTTTAAGAAAAGAGAAGCACTGAGGTGTTCAACAAACAGGAACCCCATGCAACACCTTTGCTGCAGAAAGCGTGCTGAGCCTGTGCAGTGAAATGACTGTACTTTTTGAAGGTGCATTTCCAGGACCTCCAAAGGCAGAGGAAGACTCCGGCAGGGGCCCCGGGAGCCAAGGACGCGAAGGGGAAGCTCCGGCGGGTCACGTGCCGCGCTGGAGCTCTGAAGTGCGCTCGGCCCCGCTGACGTAACTATTAGAGAATTTAAAAGTCCCAAACTCGGAGGAAATCCAGTGCAGAGTTTTATGGCTAATCCACGCGCCGCTGTGGCCCGCAGGGGGTGCCCCTGCGCGACCGGGTGGGACCACACGAGCTCAGAAGGAACCCAGCGGGGAGGGCGCAGAGCCGGCCACGGGCCAGACCCCAACCGTGGGCACTGACCGCGGCCACGCGCATGGACCCCAACAGCGGGCGGGGACCCCAACTCTGGGCGAGGACCTGGCCACCGGCATAGACGCCAACCGCGGGCGGGGACCTCAACCAGGGGCGAGGATCCCAGCCGCGGGCGCGGATCCCAGTCGGTCCCACCGACGGAACTAGCCTCCAGAGCAGACGCCCCGGGCACCGCGGCTCCCCCGCAGACGCACTCCTCTGCCAGCAGGGGACACAAATGTGTGTTTAGCCTCTTTCTTCCCCTTAACCAGTCCCTGTTGGGGAAAGATGAAATGAGCTTCAGCTACCACTTCTAGCACGCCTTTGTCTGGCGGCCAAGGTCCTGGGGACGCCGGTCTCCTCCCTGACCCCGGGCGCCCGCCCTCCCGTCTGCCCGTGGCCGAGGCGCACTTACCGGCCCCGAGGCGATCGCGATGGCCCGCACGGAGCCGCCCTCCTTCTGGGACGGAACTGCCAAAAAGCCCCCAGCAGCTAAGTTTTCCGAGGCGGACGGCGGCGCAAAGAGTCTCCACTGCCCGACTCGGCCCGGGGACGCAAACTTTCCCGGGGCAGCGGCGCGGGGCGGGCGCGGGGGCGGCGCGGCTCGGCGAAGGGCTTGGGCAAAGTAGCAGCACAAAAGGCCAATGACTGGGCGCGCGGCGGCCGGGCCAGGCTCCTCCCCCAGCTCTCGGCGCTCGGAGCCGGCCAGCGCGCAGCCAGCTGCTCGCGCAGGGCGCCCGCCGCGCTCTCCTCCCGGGCCAGGAATGCGCGGGCCGGTCCCCGGCGCCCCGACCCCCGAGGGGCCCACGCGCCGCCGAGCGAGCGGGGCCCAGACAGGCGGACAGACGGCCGCGGCCCGGTCGCTGCTCCTGAACGTGCCGCAGACTTCTTCCAGGAGTCTTTGAGTCATGACAGCTTGTTACAGTTCTTAGTTTTTCCACGGCGCTTTCCACTACGCATGGCAACGCGGGGAAGGCACCGGCGCGTGAAATGACGGAGAAGGCCAAGTACAGGCCGGGAGCCCAAGTCTGCGGTTCACGCACGCTTCCCCCCGCGGGGCATTTGGCGGCGGGGGAGCCAGCCCCTGAAGGAGGGTGGGGATGAAATGGTACCTCTCTTGTTCCTAGAGCCAAATTCTGGCCCTTCTTTCTTCACCTGCCCAGCCAGACCTAACACTGCTTAACCACAGATCCTTAGGCGCACTGTGCTCTACAGTTTGCAAAACGTGTTGACGCGCCTTCTCCAGGACTGTTGCACCCTCTGAAGTGGCAGAGACTAAATCCAAACCACTTCCTGCTGCCATATTCCGGGGGAGCATGTGTATTTCTATTTGTGAGTTGTTGGTTTTGTTTTATTTTTTCCCTCAGAGGGCCCAAAATCAACTCCCTTGCTAACATTGACCTCACACCCAGAAATGGAGCTTACCTGCTGGCACGATTGCAGTGTATCACCTTTTCTCTGGAAATTTCTGCAGCTAGCCCCCAGCAAGAAGAGCCTGTGGCTGTATGTGGACGCCAGCCTTCCTATTTTAAGTTTAGTGTCACAAAAGCATTGCTATATTTTATATATGGGGACCAAAGGGCAAGGGACTCGCCAATGACTCAAGGCTTCCTTCCCTCCTCTTAAAGAAACAGAGCACCAAGACTTGATGGCCCCAAATGAGAATTCTCTGTACAATAAAGAAATAGACTTTTATTGCCTTCCACTAAAATATTGTTTTTTAAAGACACCAGGCTTCTAAGAGTCACATTTCTGATGGAAATTTAAGTAGATTCCTTGTTCACATGCTTATCATGGGCTCACTGGTATAGTATTAATGTACCCATTTCACAAATGTGATAACCACCCAAATAGGCTAATTTGTTTAAATGTACACCATCAGCTATAGGTAAAGTGAGAACTGGAGTGCCCAGTCTTCTGTGTCCTTGTGCCCTAAACCCAGGTCAGACCCGCTTATGTGAAAAAACATGCCCCACTCACCACCTTGTAAGCTCAAGCACTCCAATTAGGCAAAGAGCTGAGATGAATCTGAGGTGCCATCGCTTTCATACGAAACAGCTCTTCCTAGTTGCCAGATGCATATCCTTCACGATGGAACCCAACACCAGGCAGAGACCCCAAATATAGTCAGGTGACCCCAGCCATGGGCACGGACCCTAATAGGGGGCAAGAAATGTACCACTATGCTTTGAAACCCACTGGTGTGGCCAGTAGAATGATGCCCTCACCAAGGATGTCCATATTTTAATCCCCAAGGTCTATGAATATATTAAGTTACATGGCAAAGCGGAATTAAGATTGTAGATGGAATTAAGGTTGCTAATCATTTGGCCTTAAAATAGGCAGATTATCCTAGATTATCCAGGTGGGCCCAATGTTATCCTAAGGGTCGTTAGAAGTGGAAGATGGAGGAAGAAGAAAAGAGTCAGAGAGAGAGAAGAGACAGTGAAGCAGTCACAATGAGATTGGAAGATGCTGCGCGACTGGCTTTGAAGGTGGAGGATGGGCACCACAGCCCAATGAATGTGGGCAGCCTCCAGAAGCCGCAAAAGCAATGAAACAGGTTTTTCCTTAGGGCTTCCAGAAAAGAACGCAGCCCTACTGACACCTTGATTTTAGCCCAGTGAAACCCGTGTCTGACATTCTATTTACAGAACTGTAAGAAAATTAATTTGTGTTGTCTTAAGCCAGGAATTTTGTGGTCATGAATTACAATAGAAATAGGACAGTGATACAGTAGGTGTCTGGTTATAACTGTGATTTAATCTCCTCTTTGAAGGATTTTATGAGTGTGTCTTCCACTTCATGAATGTCTCCAGAATCTAGGACCTCTCATTGCAGGAAAAACCCTCTGGCTGAGGAATGCTTGACCCCAGCACCTCTCCAAGGTGTCCCCAAGCTCAAGCTGTGCAATAATCTGGGGCAGCCAGCCTTCAGACAGAGCCATGGTCCAGTAGAGGACATAGTCATTAGAAGATGAAGTCAAGGGATCCCAACATCACAGAGGACTGAGATTCAAATCTCACCGTATGACAGAGATACATCCACGCAGGAAACCCTCGGCCAACCCACACAGCCCTGGTCCTAGCCACAGCCAGCAATGATGCCCGGATAATAAACCTGAAGCTACAGTAAGTGTGCATTGCCTGCGTCCTCCTGCTCCATGTCAGGGTGACAACACAATGCTGGGACAGAGGAGGGCAGAGGCACGCTTACGCCCTCTGTCTTGGGATACCTGGAATTACAGGAAAAGACTGAATCACAGGCAGCAAGGATGTGCCTTACTCGTTACATCCATGACTGAATCCTTACATTCTAAGGATTTCTTGGGTCTGAGTCAAGGCCAAGGCCTCTGCAGAAATGTGGCGTATGTGAGTGTTTTCAGCAATGCCCTACTTCAATAGCTGCTAAATGATCTTCTCCAGAGTCCTAGGGTTTCTGGAGTTATCTTAAAGGCTACCTGGAGGTCACCCATAGCATCTGCAAGCCAGAGCCGTTCCACTTTTATCTGTCCTATCTGTGGGTTCCACATAAGATTTTGTTTGGAGAAAAGGTTCATTTGGAGGGAAGGGAAAAAAAAAGAAGATGTGAAAACTGCTTTACAGAAAAGAATTTGTGCTGTCGGAATCCTAGAATCCAACCTGAGACCCAAAGAAGGAGAGTGGCACGCCCAAGGCCAAGGGCGGCATAATGACAGAGTAGGTGTCTGGAAGGAGATTTTTTTAAACTTAAGTAGAGAGAACAGTATATAATGAACCCTCTATATATTTCCCAGCTTCAATATTATCAAATCCTGGCCACTTCTGTTTTATTCATATGCCCACTTCCCCCTGCTGCCCAGATTATTTTGAAGCATATCCCAGATATCATCATTGAATCAGTCAGTATTTCCGACTGACTCTCCAAAAGGCAAAAACTGGGAAGGGAATTTTTGAAGGCTCTTTATTCCTTAATTCCCCCAGCCTCCCTTTAAAAGGACCAACACTGCTGAAAGATCATCTCCAACCTGCAAATATTAATAGGAGACGAACCACAAAACCAGACCCACAGGTCTAAAATTCAGCGCACGTAAGACTCACTGGGTTATTGTTAAGATGCTCCCAGAGATTCTGGATCAGGAGGTAGGGGAAGGGGCTCAGGAAAGCACATTTTAGCAAGCATATTCTGGATAATTCTGATGGAGATGCTTTCCTAACCACACTTGGAGAAACTCTGACTCTGAACTTTCGTGGCATCCCAAACTGCTGTTCCCTCTCCTTATTTACTTACTTATGTTCAAATAATTAGTGTTGGCATGGTCATGTGACAATCCTTGGCCAACAGAACAGAAAGGGAAGTCAGCTGGGCTTCTGGAGATGCTTTCCTCACTCTCTGGAGGAAATGCAGGACTGCGTTTCTCCTGTCCTTCAGATGTCTTCCTGCCTCTCGACATTGTCATGTGAGGGCGTGATGCTTGGAGCTGCTGCAGTCAGCTTGAAATAATGAAGGGGACACCAACCAACACGTTAAATTCAGGTAGAAGGGAAGATGAAAAGAGCTAATGAATTATTCAGCCTTGGAAGTGCCCTGGCGCTGGACTTTCTGCCACGTGAGATGATGGACCTGTTATTGTTGAAGTTGGGGTGATGATGATGATGATTGTCAGCTAGTCTGTTACTTACAGCTAAAAGCCCCCTAAAAGGACTGTCAACTGTGATGTTGAGAAGCACTCACTCATTTGGTCGATACAAGATCTAAGGCTACAGAAAGGAAGGAAAAACCACAAAGCAAATGAAAGCTTATTTGCCAAGGGAGTCTCTGGAATACAAAAGGCACATTGGCGCCTGGGAAATACCCCTGTCCCTTTCTGCCGAGCAACACTTTGCTCTGTGTTTGCAGCTTCCTTTAATATGGTGTCGTGGCAACAATATTTTCTTTGGCTGCGAAGTGGGAAGCCACATGGAAATGGGAAGCCAGGTTAGAAACCTGTGCCCAAATTTGCCTGACACATAAATCACCATGAACTAATCAAGTGTTCACTGAGCACCTGCAATCACCATTCCAAGCACCCACGGGGGCATAAAAATGTACAAAACGGGAACGTGCCTGGAAAGCCAGACTCGTGCTAGAGAGGCAAGAAGCAGGATTATGGAGCCAGGAACGCCAGCAGACACCAGATGCAGCTGGCTTTGGGGCAGGAAGAACTGGAGGGTATGGCCTGTATATTTGGAGAAGTTATTACAGGAGACTGAAAGGAACCTCCATTCTATCAGAGGACTTTCTTCTGCCCCATTGGACCAACGGCTCCTCCCTGGACTGCCAGTGCCACAGCTGCATACACCAAGAGACCTGGGAAACAAGGCCAGAGACTGGAGACATGCAAGTCTGGCTGGTTAACTGATGGGGAGTACGTGATGCTGAAGGACAGAAGCCAAACTCTCTAGAGACAAAGGACACACCAGCTCCTTGCTGGGAGGTGCGAGTCTAAAAGAAATTTCCTGTCTCTGACGTGTTGATGGACACCCAAGTGGAAGCTTAGGGACACTGGTGCCCTGAATTACAGCAATGTTGTCCTCAGAGAATACCAGGGCATTTGGTCTGGGCACCCACACATGGCCAGACGGCATAAACTTTCCTACACTCAAGGGGTTTCTTTCTGTCATTCAAAATCACTTATTAAGTAGCTGCCATGTTCCTGGCCTTGAGCAAAGTCAGATGGCTCGTGGTCCCTTGCTCGCTCCTACAGTTGGATCAGGTAACAGCTACCACATGACAGAGACAAAAAAGGCGTATTTAATCAGCCTTGAAAGCTATGGGGAGATGTTTCTGAAGACGGAATCCTTCAGCTTAGAGGATAAGTTTAGAGGCTAAGGAGGTGTTACCATATTCAGATTTCTTATATTACTAGAGTATTTTAATAGTTATGCATTTAAAGCATATTAGGAAAAAATATATAATTAGCACACCCAACCCATAACTTCACAGACATTACCTAGGACAAAACTAAAGTAATACATTGAAATAAAAGTGAAGCAATTTAAAGAAAAATAGTAGGTAGATAAAAATACAAGTGGCAACAGATATGGTAAAAAGTCTTGTAAGTGGTACAAGAGTGATGGACTATGGTGAAACCCCAACCTACAAAAAGAAGGGAAATGGGCCAGGAGAAGAGAAATAGAATGTTCTGGGTAGTGGGAATCAAATCTCTTTGAACATATTCAATAACTTGTGATAAGGAAGACCATGATTAAGTCATTCAGCAAATATTCCTTGAGCAGTTACAACGCCTTAGGCGCCAGGACAAGGGACTGAGCAGGAGAGACAAAATCCTTGCCTCGTGGAGAAGAGCTTCTAGATAAGCATTATATGGCCACCTACATTAATTACCAAGTGAGAGGCAAAGACAGTTAGGGCCTCGAGCTGTTTTAATCTTTTAATGC